TAAAACCTTGGTGACGATGCGACTTCATGCCTATTGAGTAAAACCTTGGTGACGATGCGACTTCGTGCCTACTGAGTAAGCCTTGGTGACGATGCGACTTCGTGGCTATTTGATAAATCTTGGTGACGATGTGACTCCGTGCCTGTTGTGTAAACCCTGGTGACTATGAGACGTAGTGCCTATTGTATGAACCCTGGTGACTACGTGACGTAGTGCCTGTTGTATAAATCGTGGTAGCAAATGGACTTTGTGCCAATTCCTTAGGCAAATCCTTAGGAATGAATGAATGAAGGATAGTGGATTCTTAGGATAAACCCTTGAGAAAATAAAGGAGATATGGGGATGGGTATTTGGGTTGATTGTTTGATAATTGAATATAATAAATGTATTATTGTGGGTTGAAAACCCTATATGCTCACCAGGCTCCCAAACCTGACCCACTCAGTTTTCTTTGCATTACAGGTAATGGCACAAGAGTATAAGTTGGTGGACCTGACGAGAGATTTTGGATTATAGATCAGTAGTTATAAATAACTGTTGTAAGGTCTATTTTATATTGTTTATGCTTTTGGTCTGTATCAGAACATGACATCTCGAGATTTTGTTATTTAATGAAAATAGATTTCTTTAAGAAATGTTTTGATAAATTTTATTTTATCATATTTTATTTTGGGAACAAATTCCGCAACTCTTTTAATCAAATGATTACTCTGATTTTATAAAAACAAAGCATAAACAAATCGGTCTTTTCTGGCCGTGAAATTGGGGATGTCACAGTCTTTACTCTTAATGGAGGAGCAGTGAAATGGAAAAGTTCCAAGTAGGAGACTGTAGCTGATTCAACGTGCGAATCAGAGTACATTGCAGCGAGTGAAGCATCAAAGGAGTTAATATGGTTGAAGAGCTTCATTAGAGACCTTGGAGTTGTGTCATCCATACAGGAGCCTATGGAAATTTTCTGTGATAATGAAGGAGTGGTTTCCTTGATCAAGGAACCAAGGGATCATTGTAGATCTCGACATATTGACATAAAATATCACTTTATTCGACATCGGGTAGAAGAAGGACTCCTCGTAGTGAAAAGGGTACCGTCGGAGGATAACCCAACATATCCACTTACGAATGCATGCATCAGTAACTTGATGGTATAAAACGTATTGTTGTGCATGATTTGATGAGTAAATAATGCAAACATATAAGTCGAAGTTTATCTATTCCTTTCGGCCTAACAGGAAAAGCGATATATTGGGCCCCTCGATGATTTGATGTTAACTTATGTGTCGGGCCCGATAAAGATTGAAGTGATGTGTTCAATTAAGATCTTTGTCATTACAAATCAGAAAATTAGGAAACAGGTACAAATGATAGGTTTTCAGAAGACAGAGCATCCAGACTCGTCTGATGTTTTGATTATTTATTTTTGGTGTCATACTATTATTGCAAAGAACACACTTGTATTGAATTATTCTATTAATGCAATGAATGATGTTGTTGCTTGTTTACTATTATGCATTTTTATGATATTGTACATGACGTCCTCCGCCCCTGAATGTTTCCACAAATTCGGTTTGGGGTGTGACAATAATTTGTACTCTACTATATGTACGGGTTTGTGCTGAGTGCACACATGTATAAGATCGAATTAGAAGTTGGTTCGACGACAAGTCGGGGGTCCGGGGGCAGCGCCCTTGGGTCCGGGGTTTCTAAAGGGGTTATGCCCCTTTGGCGACGTCTAGGGGCAACGCCCCAAAAACTTTTCAAAAAATACATATGGAAACATATTGGGAAAAACAAATTCTTGAGGGTGATTATGGTAAAACTGACGAAATTCGTCAGTTTTGGAAACCCTAAATCCTCATTAAATTTTAGATTTCCTGGTTTGCTTTCAAAGCAACCTATGACGACCAACTGTAATACAAACCCTAATCTCGTTTATTATACAAACAACTCTTCTCTTTGAGAAGATACACGAAATTCTTAAGCTCTCGTTTTTTTTTTATCAAACTAACACATAATCCTTTTAGTAATTTGGCTTACGACTTTTGTACCTATAATCATAAGTGTCCTCTCGATTATCCAATGTTAAATTTCTTGCAACCCAGACATAGGGTAGAAATATCAGTTCGGAAAATGTTCACACAATCCAAGTGGTATCCAGATCTCCACTACAAACCCTATAATTTCTAACAATTGGTATTGTTAATAAGGGTTTCTCCCATGTGAAAACATATCTATTATGATTTGTAGGCTCTTGATCCATAATCTGAAGCACTGCACTTTGCCCATACTATCCTTGTTAGTGTTGCCCCTATGAAGGTTGAAGCTACTTCAAACAAGGCTGGTGTCACTTGGATATTGTCGCACCTAACCTCGTTTCATGGCTAAGACTCTTGGTGTCTACAACTATGACATTTTTGCCCTTGGTGCTCACAAACTTAGTTGATAGTTTGGTATTCATTACAAATCATTAGTTACCATTAAATTTGTCTAGTTTAGTTACCCCTCTTTGATTTCAAGCTTCTTCCTTGTTTCATTTTTCTTTATGTCCTGTGTTTGCCTAGCTCCTTGCTGATTTTCTTTAATATATATATATATATATATATATATATATATATATATATATATATATATATATATATATATATTCTCCTTTCCGTTCAATAATAATAATAATAGTTAACTTTTTTGTGTTGTAAAATAAATACAAACATCTTTAATATTTAATATCATAAAAGGATATATAACACATTATGGAAACTCAACGAAAGTCACCAAACTCTATCTACCTATCTATCTTGTTGCCCAAATGTAAATAGAATATTATGGGTTGACAAATAGACACGAATTTCGGCTCCTAAAACTTGTTAAACATGCTATCTAAGAATACAAAAAACCCGAATAACTTTTTTCTTTTATATAAAATATATAACAGATTCAAAAGCAATGGCCAGCGGTTTTCCCTCATCCTGAATGGATAGACATTGGACCAATGATAGGATATGGCTTCCAATGATTTCGGTTCTGCTTTTGTGTACCAATATATCTGAGTAGCATGCATGCAGCCCATAATAGTAATGGGTGGCACTGGCATTGAAAACGAAAGAACTCTACGCCAATTTGAATGAATAACTGCTCCTTATCTGCAGGGGCCAGTTTTGACGATGAAGTTTTTGCAGTGCTATAAGGACGAATAGGAACAGCTATGACCTACGTATTTTACTCGACCTCATGCCTTTTGGACTAAATTGCAACGGTATGGGTGCTTGGATATCGGGATTCGGAAACTTTAATGTATTGATATATATGGGATACTTTTACAGATCCTAAACTATCAATGATTCATTGATGGGTTGCATTAAAGATAAAAGCTATTCGTAGTTTTTCTAGTCTTCTTACAACTAAATAAAAATGGAATTCTAAAATTCTAAAACTTGATATATATGTATATATTGTAACGCATATTGGGAACAACCGTCATTTTGGGTTCGGAATTGATATTTTGGTTGTTTAGGTTGACGACTTGACGTGCTTGAATCTTGATCAATTGTAAATGAGAAATTAAATTGTCTCCTACCTTTTATTCCTACAATTATTCCTACCTATTAAAATTATGACAAATCACTATTCAATTTAATTGTATTTAATATATTCCTAATATAGTCTTAATGATTTAATTTAAAAAATATGAAAAGATGATACTTGTCATAATTTTATTGGGTAGGAATATTTGTAGGCATAAAAAGTAGGAATCAATTTAATTTCTCATTATTAGAGGCTTTTAACTTCTTTTTAATTTCATGGATATGACCAGTTAAATAAGATATTTTATGTAATAATATATTTTGCATGCCTACTGTTCCAATGACATCCTAAACTCCTAATTAGCTAGCAAATTGATAGGCATGAGTCACACAGAATAAAATTGAACCCTCAATCCTTAGAAAGAACACATTTTGATACCCTTAAGTTAAAAACACTTTGATGAGTCTTTAATATATAACTATTTGATTACGTTCGTTAAGCTGTTCAAGAAAAATATAAATTAATTAGTTTCAAGAATCCGGATAAAATTTGTGGTTGTTGCCCACATGTTTGAAGCACGATAACCTATTATTATATAAATGTCAAACTGAGAATCTTAGGTTATTAGGATTAAAAATGAATTTGTATATGTGGTTGAATGGCATGGTTGAATGAATTAAAATATCTTGTGACTTTCAATGTATTAACCCAACCATAATATATAGGCATTCAATGGAAAAAACAAAAGTGTTTAATATTTTAAAATAAATTTTATTGAATTTTATATAGTTTAATTAAAAAATACGATTAAATAGTAAAAGATACCCTATGCATAATTAAGCTGGGACCACGAAAACGAGGTTTATGTATCTTCTATATATCATATATACGGAAGAAAATTATTATTATTTACCGGGTTTAAGTCGGTACTATAAAATTCTTTGCATGAATACAAGGAAAATGTTGCATCAATAGACTTGCTTCCGCAACTAATTTACACAAAATCTAAGAGCCTCATGTGTTATATATATCGACATCTGATCTATATATACAAGAAGAAAATATCGAAAGAATTAGAAGAAGGATATATGTACACATAGTCACACAGAAACATGGTTTTCCATTATAGAAATTAAATTTAAACATACATAGACACATGCAACCCATCAACTGTACGCAATTACTTTCTTAAAACCAAAAAACACAAATAAAAATAAAAATAAAAATCAAACTTCAACTGCATCATGTACTCCAACATTCCCGAGGAGATCCAGAACCAAACTTCGGCTTAATTACTTAGTCTTCGGAGTACTTTCACTCATACCCATCACGGAATAAACAAACAACCAAACCAATAAACATGAAGATAAGATCGTAATTCACCAAGAACACATACTATACTAACTAATAAAGCTAGCTAACTAGCCTGCCACTGCTCAGCAATATGGCTGGTTCGTTAGCTATATATATAGGATATATTATATATCTCTCACTTCAAACACATTACGATTCTTGACGACTATATCGTACATATGCATGGACTTAAGCTTGTTGAAGTCTTTAGGGAGAGAAATTAGGTGCACATTTGACCTTTTATGAAACTGAAAAAGATCAGGATCATCGTAGTACCTCTCCCATCCGAATGACAATAAGATTCTTTCCAGCACCTCATACGAAGTCACCACTTCGTTCGTAGCTACATGAACCAGCACCTTACGTCGACCAGAACCCTGACAGGAATCACTTCCGGTGCTGTCCACCAATCGAACCACACCATTCTTGAACACCCAAACACCAGACATAGCTTTAATTCTTGATTAATTAGCTACCTAGCTAGGGTTTCAAGATCGAGGTTAATTTGTATGAGGCTCAGAGAACACAAATATAAATGTTTCAAGATGGGAGTGGAGGTTTATATAAGGGTTTCCAGCTGACTAGGTTGAGAACATATACATTTACTTACGTATGCATATCTGATCTCTACGAAGGTGCGTTTGGACCCATAATGAGGTGAGGGATACACCCTTTGTGTTTAGGCATCACCTACCCACGTGTTAATGTGTGGGGGAGGGAAAGTATTGGACCGAGAGGAATCCAAAATCTTTATCGAAGTCTTTATAAATACCCTAAAACAGAAGGGAATCTTAGGGTAAGATTTAGCAAGTGGTTTCTCGAACAAACAGGCTTGTGAAACAGTTGGATGGATCAGCCTGTCGCTATTAGAATACTGTAGGGATTGTATGGTAGGGCATCCAGTCGCTATTAGAATTTTAAGTATCCATCACTGATTTAGCTACGGACCCGGTCTGTTACGATTCGTATATATGAACACTTGACCGAGGAAGAAGAACTCAAAGTGCCCAAAGGGCTGCGAAGCCGTTGATTCTATTGACCGAAGGAATGATACGTACAAGAGAATTGCATTAGTTAATAACCAAGATATCTATGGCCTAATTTCGGATAATTACACAAAGATTGAAATGACACCCTGACACCCCTTGTGTTCGACGTTGACTACCCAAACACCAATCCAAACCCTAAAATTTGTTTGATCATCTCTAAAATCAATAAAGAATTGTAGAAAAAGATTAAGTTTTTTCAAGATTCTTCAACCCGTTCAATGTTATTGATGAAAAATAAGGTTCCCTCTTTCATGGAAGATACTCAAGTAATTAAAACATTTTGATGTTGTAATGTTTTACTGGTTTCTTTAAGTCAATTACTCTATTTATGATTTCCTGCAATTCAATTAAGTCTTGTAATGTGTTGTTGTAATGTTAATTTTTAATGTTGTTTATGTAATTGCTTTTTTGTATTTAGGATGATTATGTATTTGTTGTCTCCTGGTTAATGTTGATGTTGATTTTGATAAAGAAAAAAAATGTGCCAAAGTCGAACAAAAGAAAATGGGAACCAAAAGTAGCTAGGCAAAAAGAGATCAGGTTAAGTTGTTGGAAAATTTTCAAGGTCGTTTTGGTAGAAGATGATGACTGATAGAAAAAGAAGAATGTTAAATATACGTTTTTTCTCAACAATTATTAAAGCCGATACGTCTTACAACGACACCTCTAGTTTACTTAAACAGGTGGCTAGATGCTAAAAGAATCTAGAAAACATGAAAAACCAAAACACTTTGCCATGCATGTAAGAAAGAACCTTGTGGGGAGGGTAGTATCACAACTTGGAAGCATGGTGACCTTAGGATTAAAAAAGCTTTACTAAATCTCTTTGTTGTACACAAACTACCCTTTAAATATGTTGATAAAGCTTTTATTAAGCATAAAAATGCATTTAATCATGAGTTTATTTTTCCATCTAGTCTTAAACTTAATTGGGATGATGGAAATGGAAAGTACATATTATATTATACTAAAGAAAGAAAAAAATTGCTTGCTTACTTGAGTTATCCGGCTAACACCAATGGACACTTGGATGTCCTTGTGTCAAAGAGTCAATTATATTGTTGTAACGAGTTACTTAATTTGTTGAGAAAAATTCGGTTATGCATAAAAGAATCCTAAATTTTAGGCTTATAGACAGGAGATGTGTGTTGACTCCGTTATTGGAGCGTATACATGAGGAAGACATAAATAAAGTAAGACCTAAATTTTGGGCTTACAATAGTTACAAGGGGAGATGTGTGTCGACTGTTATCAACATAAAAAATCCGTTATTATAGACATTTTATGATAGATTTTTTTTGAATAACATGAGAGGAAAATTCTCATCATTGAAAATAAGTTATACTATTGCTCAAAATCCATCTTGAATAATACACCTATAGTTATGTGTTTTTTTTCACATCAAGTGATTAATTTTTACTTACGGTAACCGTTTATAAATATTATCACGGTCATTGTTGACTTTTGGAAACATAAATATAATTAAGTTGTAAGGATAAGTTATCTTTCCTAACAAGTTTAATCGTTTATTATTACTATTGTTTACATACATCCACAATAAAAGTTTAAGACGTTACAAAAAATGATCTATACTAACATGCTATTTCTTTTATTATGATTACTGATCACTTTTAGTGATATGTTTAATATTATATTGTGAATATTGTGAACGTTTACTTACTCACAATAAATTAAACGATAAGCATACAATATTTATAGCGATGTGTTTTTGCATATCGAGTTATAAATGTTTACTTACGGTATCCGGTTATAAATATTATCGTGACCATTGTTCACATTTGGAGATACAAATGTAATTAAGCTGTAAGGATAAGTTATCTTTTCTAACATGTTTAATCGTTTATTAGTACTATTGTTTACATACACCGACAAATAAAAGTTTAAGACGTTACAAAAAAAATCTATACTAACATGTTATTTCTTTTATTATGATTATTGATCACTTTTAGTGACATGGTTAACATTATATCGTAAATATTATAAATGTTTACTCATTCAGAAGCAATTAAACGGTGAGCATAAAATACTTATAATGATGTGTTTGTTCAAATAGAGTGATAAATGTTTAGTTATAGTGATCGTATATAAATATTATCGTGATAATTGTTGACTTTTGAAGACACAAATGTAATTAAGTTGTAAGGATAAATTATCTTTCTTAACATGTTTATCGTTTATCATTACTATTGTTTACATACACCGACAAATAAAAGTTTACACTACTACAAAAAGGCGCATAAGACCCGCCATATAGGACCCGATTATTGAAATAAGCAGGTTGTATTATGTAAAAATAGGGTTTTATAATAAGGAGTGTTATATAACCCTCCTTGAAGTAAACAATCGGGACATTTGTTACGCTTAAAGAACCCAATTCTTATAGAAAGAGTCGGGGCTTTTGTGTATACAGTTATATGTTTCGGTTTTTATATATGTTACAATTGAGTTCTATGAGTTTGCCACGTGAATTATGAGAGGGTTATAGGACCCGTTTTCCAACAACCCGGTTTTTGATATCTATTATAGAAACATAACAATTGTAAGTGTAAGTAGGTAATCAAGTCCATCAAGTTGATACATTTTCAAGCTCAAACTCAATCTAGCCTTAATTTTTTTTAGTTTAAACTAGATGAAATCATTAGTTTGAAGCTTGCATCGATTATGTATTAATAAATGAGAAAACAATTTTTTTATATTGAAGTGAAATAAGATTATATTAAAATTTATTTCAATAGAACAATAATTGAAATAGACTTACAATTAAAATGATTTAAATAGAAACTATAATTAGTAATGACATTAACAGGTAAACGTCTTGTGCTCCAAAAATCTCATTCTTGAAGTTTCAATTATTTCCATGAAAAAAACTAAATATGCTTATATATATATATTATATATATATATATATATATATATATATATATATATATATATATATATATATATATATATATATATATATATATATATATATATATATATATATATATATATATATGATCAGTCGATTACATTAATAAAAACACAAAAGCTATGTTTTATTGTTAAGGCATTAAATCTTTTGCACAAATAGGATTGGGGCATTTATGTCAATAACCAGAAAACAGAAAACAGTAAAGCCTACAAGCTCTAATGCAATTTCAAACTTTATCTTTTATTTGTCTTAAAAACTCCATCTAAATGTATTTTGGTGTGATCTGTTTTTGAAGCTGCCATCAACACAAAAACACAAATTAAGTTTTTTTACTCGTATATAAACTACAAAATATATACAAATAAGCTCTAGACGATTAGATTGACATTTTGACAATCAATTGTATATTTTGGTTAAATCCAAAAGATATTAACAATATTAAATCCAAAATATAGCAAAATACTTTCATATATTTGTTTATTTTAGTATCATAGTTCTACTTGGTCAAATTATAGCATTGTACTTTGAAACATCTTCCTAATTATACCAATGTCATAACTATACAAAATATTCCGTTGTTGTTATATTTACGTATTTTTTTCAAAGGATAATGACTAATCCAGATTTACAATAACATATTTTCAAGAATTCTTTTAATACAATACTCCCTAATGGCTTATTAGGATTCTTCACATCATCGATCTTTAGTTCATCTTCTCATCAACATCAATTTTTCACATTATTTTTCTTTCTTTTCTTTTAACCTCCCGTCAAAAGTATCAAAGAACCAAAAATTCAAAAACATGTTTCAAAAAACAAATTTCAAGTGCCAAGTCAAGAATTAAGGAAAAACTCAAAGTCATGTAATCAACCTTGAATAATCAAGTCAAATCTGTACAGAAAATCCGTAGCAAGGGAGCAATTAAATAATCGACTTAGAAATTTTAATGCATTTGAAATCATTTATGATAACTTTTCAACAAAATACGTGTGAAATATGTATGTAACGCACGGTTGTAAGCAAATATAGAAAAATGATGTCGACAATAAGCACAAACTTATCAAGGAAACTAAAAAACAGAACAATTCTAAATCTAATATTAATGTAACAAAATTAAAATGGACGTACTTTTATCGTCAATGAGAATGATTCAAATTTTGAACTTTTGAACTTTTGAATTTGAATTACATATAACCAAAAGGTAAAAATGTGAAATACCTAATATGCAGTTATGCACCATACCAAATTAGCATTGCTCTTTCGATGATCTTTATAACAGATGTATGGGGCTACAAACCTTTACGATAGAGTTGAGAAACTAATAACTTTACCCCCTTCTATTTACCCCTTATTGGTATCATATTAGTAAAGTAGTTATGCATTGATCTAATTTGTTTATGGGAGGATCGGGTTAAATAAAAACACGAGTTGAATAAGGAAGGAGATCAAATATATATATATGTG